GCGCCTTTTGCACAATACAAAGGCATGGACCACCGGTGTAATCACGGTCTGTAATAGCTCCGACCACCTTGAATCAAAGGCGCAGGAATTTCCAATACCTGCCTTCCGCCTCAACATCGCAGAGTTACGTATGGGAGCACCATACGTCTGCGAGCAACAGCGCGTGGTTCGAATCTCGACGCCTGCAATTTCTACTATTCGTGCCTAAATTTGTGGTGTAGTGTTTAGGACTCTAGCTTCGTATTCGGAAGGTTGGCGATTCAAATCTCGGCCGAGTGGCTGAATGAGATCACCGGTAACGAGATAAAGAAGTATAATATTAAAATGGATCTTATGCAAATGAAATTTGCGGGTATGGCCTGGAATACGAAGACCTGGGATTATATACATCGCCTAGTTTTACTAGTATCAATGCTAATCCTTCGAGTTTTGCGCCGGACAGGCTATAGTTAGCTAATTAGATAGTCGCTGAGTAAGTCAGTCGGTTTGTATGTTGGTTATTTAGCTAGTAAATTACTAAAGTAGTCGTTAAGGCACTAAGCTACTTAGTCAAGCAGATTATCAGGAGGACATTTAGTGATTGAATCAGTCAGCCAGTGAATCAACCTTAGTGATGGAGGTAGTAAGCTCCTCTGAAACGTCGGTCAATATATACCATTTTCATTGCTACCGCATTTCTTTCCGCTGATGTGAAAAACCACACTATGTGCCAACCTAACAGGGCTATTTCTCTTTCAGTTTGTTCGCTAGCGGAGCGTCCCACTACAGTGCTACCAACCTAACACCACACTCGCCATCCGAAGCGAAGTCCGGTTACCCTTACTTCGGCCAACTGAGTGGTATGGAAGCCGGCATGGTTTGTGGCAGGGTACACTGACAAGACCACCTCATACAAAGACACGGATCACAAAGTTACTGTTTGTTTCCACGTAATTACACCGTCGGCGTATGGTCTGTGGACAAAAGAAGTTGAAACGTGTGCTTCAGTGATTAACAGTTTGAGTGCTATGAACGTGATATTTGGTACAGTATTGCCAATTTTACTTTAATTTTGGTGTGTGGTGTGAAAATAAACTACTGCTGATATCTCCTGACTGGTCGTGCCAACTATTTGTGACTTTCAGCAAAGAAAACAAACATCTTAAACAGAATGACGAAAAAAAATTTATCGATTTGTCGAAAATTCGTTATCGACATATAAAGGATTCGGTATTGAATACCAGTGTTGTAAATTGTTTCAATTAACAAGGGACATTATATAATACAAAAAGGAATTTTAGGTACTTATCAGTTCACTAAGCCGGAGGGGAAGAGACCGCTGGGGAGACCTAGACGTAGATGGGAGAATAATATCAGGCGGGATCTATGGAAGATAGGAGTTAAAGGAGACTGGATTTTGTTGGCCCAGGACAGGGTCCGATGGAGGGCTTTGGTTAATTCGGTGATGAACCTTCGGGTTCGGTAAGCCATCTAGTTAGTTATCAGTTCACTAAAGTTTCGGTATGCAAGCTAAGTACACTGAACTTATTTGCGAAAATTGGAATAAATTCATTATTTCACCGGAATCTCAAGTTGAATGGAACCAATATAAAGAAGCAGGTTCAAGTAGGCCTATTCCTTCGTTAAATGTAAACGAATTACTAACCTAAAACTTCAACTGCATTCAATTTATTTCGTTTGCCTGCGTCTGGTTTTGCGTACAGAACTCTGTGATGAGTAAAAATGCCTGAAAAGCATTGTGAATGCAAAACTTCGTTCTCGACAAAAGTAATTATTAGTATTAACTGACAAGAAATATTGAATTAAATTGCAGTTTTAGAACTTCAATACCCATTTCTATTGAATTTTCTACGACACTAAACACGACTTAGGGAAACATATTTCTTATATTTTCTGTCAGTATTATTGTGTTCATCTTTACGACTTGGCTTTGAAAATAGAAGGCAGTACGTTCTTAGGAAACACTGGCAAACATATACAAGACTACACGCTTTCACAACCCAGAAGACCACAATCGACATCTTTACAGTCGTAAGAACCTCACATCTCAGCATTTAGACATACGCACAATCGGATAAACGCAATTTAGACTCTCCGTCCAACAGACACTTTGCTGTGATGTTAACATGAAGTTGATGAGAAGTGTTTTATATATATATATATGAGAATTTAGGCCTAATTTTAATGAAACTGAATTCTTGATATAAATAATTTTAAAACTCGTTACATTTCTGAAAATGAGTAACAGGTTTGATAATATTTTAATATCAAGTGATTGTGCTCATTTAAAAATAATCTATTTATTTGGTTAACAGCTTTATTGTAATAACAAACATATTCGAGTGGAAACAATTTTACTGTGCGAAGGCTTCCGCAGAGAATTTTCACCAACATTTATTGATAATGTACTTAAATTGCAACGAAAAGTTTCTGGTGTCACATAAAATACTTTATTTTAATATTATAAAATCTTGTTGTACATGGTAATTAGATTTATACGTTAATTAAATTTAAATAAAAAAAGAGTATCGCATATTGTTTTATTTTTCATCCTCAAATATTCATAGCCATTCATAAAAACATCTCCTCCCTCTGTGTATTGGTGTGATTTATAATATATAAAGCTTTCAACAAACCGACTGTCAGCTGGTACGTAACTAGTAAAAAAATCAAGGCTAATGTGTAAAAAATAATTTAATTTTTTAATCATATTTCCCACCCTCCCACTTTTTTATTCTCCCGTAGATATCTAGCAGCAAATTTATAACTGGTGTCGGTATGAGGACCTTTGTTAACGCGACACTGACTAGTTTTAAAGTCGAGATGTTGGCAAAAGATTAGAACGAATCAGAATTCGTCGGTTATTTTTACTTGTCACTGCAAGAAAGACCCATCATTATGCGTCCCTTTTGACTGTTTCGACTCTGAGAGATGCTGAGAGCTGCCGATGGTACGGACTCTTGACAGTGAAGGTTGGTTGTAGTTAGTTGTTTGCCCACAATTTTTCATGGCGCTTCAACTTGCTGGGGAAATGTCTGGCGAACAGAAGTTTTATATTCCTGTTCACCCCTGTGTATGTAACACATATGCCAGTCAACAGCTACAGACTAGAAACCAGGAGTTCGATTCCCGGAGGGAAACAAGAATATTTTTGTCGGTCATCACGCACAGCCCGGTTCTGGGGCCCTCTCAGCATTCAGTCCGGTGGATACCACCGGTGAGCTCTTTCTTGGAGCTTACTTGCCTTCGTCTAGCGCCAAGGTAAGGATGGAGCTTTTCCTCCACGCCTTCACGTCGTGACGATGAGAAACACAAACCGCTTTAACTTTAATCAATATCGAAATCTGATCCCCACTATCACAGACTGCTTTAGTAGCAAATGGAGTGTAACAGGGGAAATATACCCGTGTTAGGATTCAAGCCGCCATTAGTGTGCAGAGAAGTTGCTAGAAGTCTGCACGGGCCTGTTCTCTAGCCTTCCTATCTTTCGATGCTGTAGAACTTAAGCACTTGAAAAAGCATCGTTAAATAAACCAAGAATAAGATATATAAGAGAAAGAAACACACAAACAAAGGAAGAACGAGAGATTGAGAATGAAAAACAAAGAGTGGAAGAAAGAGAGGGAGAGAGGAATAAACAAAGAGGAAGTAGACAAGCCAACAACATGAGAGCGGGTGAGAGGCTTCCAGAACTTTTTTGCGACGGACATCGGACACCGGCTATTAAATAGTGACGCAGGACGCGCACCAAATCGCAAGGAGCACGATCTGTGCAAAATCTGTCCCCCCGGTAGGCTACGGCCGCCTCGCCTCGGGATCGGATCGTAGCCTCACCCACACCCTCGAGATCGTCGTCGTGTGAAATCGGAGAACGTGTCCAGCAGGTAACACGTGCCGTGTGTCACTGAGATCGACCACCTCACAGGGATGGCCACATGACAACCCGAGCTGAACGGAATGCAGAACTGCTCATATCGGAAAATGGAACAAAAGAAAGCCTGTGTCCGTATTGAAAACTAACACGCAAAAAGTATTTCTGGCAGAATTAAGCAGTTTACCGCAAAAGCAAAAATAGGAAACTTCTAAATTTTCATTTCTACAGTTTTCCGTTCATTTAATTTTGCACAGAAACGCGCTTTCTTGAATTTACCAGAGATTGGAAACTAATGGGACCCGAGGTAATTTTTATTCAAAAATGGGTTCCAAAAGCCTCTAATTCAATGTGTACTGGGGCTCTTTCTCCAACGCAAATCCGTCTTTGAGCGATACTGATCACTAATCTCCTTCAAGTGTCGGTGTCTAGAATGCTGATAAGCTTTACCTCTACGCCAGGTAAAAGACTCTGTAACGTGATACGTCCACTGACACATAAATAAATGTATGAAGTAATGGAGTACCACGAAAACAAAGACAATGCCTGCTCCAGTTACTTCCACCCTGTACGGCTGCAAGTACTTCAGTCCTAGCAGAGCCAGCAGAGAGCAAAACATTAAAAAATTGGAAAACTCCTTCCGGGACGATTGTCGACCCCTGAATTTTACCGGTACATGCTCATGTTGTAGTTGGGTAAATGAAGCCCTACAGCAGGTGTATGGAGCTAAGTCAGCATCCGACCCACCCAGTTATTAACCTCGCGGCGAGCATGTCTGAGGCACGTGACAGCAGGAGAGACAGCCACCCACACGGGATGAAGGAAGAAGCAGAGATAGCAAGAAAGGGATAAAGAAGGAAGAAATAGGAGTCACAAATAGCCAAAAAAGGATTCGTTAACCCTTTGAAGACGCAACTCACGTAAACACTCTTTAAAAAATCAGTCCGTACCGCAAAGAAAACACGCTTTCTAAGAAAATAATCGCTTTTTTGTAATCAGAATGACAAAAACACGAGTTTTAAAATGCAGAGTTGAAGCAGATTTTAAAGAGTTAACAAGGCCGCTCCAACCGCATATGGATATTAGGAAGATTTTAGAAAGAATGTGGCCTTGGTCTATTTGAAGGCACTACCTGGAAACACCGAGGAAAACCGCGAAACATACAGACAGTTGGTACACGAATCTTCTCGGTTTATTATTAGTACCTAGAAGTTTAATTTTTTTGAAATAAATAAAATGGAGAAGACAACTGACTTTTTTCAAGTCTGAAAGGACTAAATCAGAATATATTTTTGTCATCGTTCGGCTTAAAACCACTGTCCAAAAATACCCACTGCATCGCAGATTTATCAACCAAGATCTCTTAATCAGAAACTTACAAAAAATTATTATTGGTAATAAAAATGGACTCGAGTCTGTGGCGAAGCCATTGCTCTGTACAAATCCGTCCTTCACACGGATTAAACCTTTTCGGCTTAACTGCCCGTTCTGAGCATTAAAATTCTAATGACGACGGTGGGTCGCTAATTGGAGAGCAGAGCAATAACAAACCGAAACGTTAACATACAATCGTCAATTTCACGTTTTCTGCGGTCAAATCTAAATCCTGCAACATTTCAGGTCTGTTAGGTGAACCGCTTTGCCATTAGCAAGCATCCCTTTCACCACATGCTTCATGGGCCCACTACATTTCCTTTTTTGGTACAGAGTTTTGCTTTTTCTATCGGATTTCAGCGTGATGACACAGGATATAGGCCTACTAAATTCATCCGAGTAAAGGAATACATTAGACACATTCATGATTCTTCCCAAAATATTAACGATCATAATATTTACAACTACAAATTACACACTTTTTACAATAATAGTAGTAATAAATACATCATAAATTGTTAGGATGTGAAGGAATCGATTGGATTAAACTGGCTCAGAATGTGGCCCAGTGGTAGGCTTGTACAATAATTCATATTCAGACTCCATAAAAGGTGGTAAATTTATTCCAAAACTGAGTATGTATTGTGATTCTCATAATGGGGGTTGGCAAGACTACATAGTTTTGAAAATGTCTTCAGTATGAAATAACCTGCATAAGGCATGAACTCGGACCATTCGAAGAGAAAGCAGGTGATGAACCCGTGAGACACGGCTTGCAGGCCGAGCCCTCAGCTGTGTCCGTCCCTCTCTTGATAAGCATGACGACAAATTGAAAGGAAGACGTCGGGCTCCCCAGCTGTTGTTTAGGACATGACGCCGCGCGCCACGAAGAATGGCCCACACCCGCCACCCATCGCTCGGCCACGACCATCGCAGACATCAATACCCCTCAGTAACGAAGCGTGAATTTTTCGTACAATTTGTTGGTCTTGTCATGTGCGCCTTTCTGGGTGGTAAACGGATGGACCATGGAACTGAAGCGGGTGGTTTCGATTACAAAACCAAAAGCGATCTAAAGGTCTTAGTCTCAGAGGAAACGCGACCTAAGTCTCTTGCAGTCTTGTGTAACTAAGGAATAAGTGTGTGACTACACATTTCACCTAACGCTATTAGAGTAGTGAAATCGAGGACATCGGGTTACGATCATGAAAATGTGGCTAGGAATGCAGACAACTGTCATGGGAAAACGTCTTGAGCACATCGTCTTGGAAGACCGATAATGAAATGGGAGAAAAAATTGGTAAACATCTCAGATAAATAGGTGGATGGATCAAATCATTTCATAGTTGTGTTTTTCTTAAAAAAAATTGATGTTTACTCAGTTGATCAACAAATTTTCCGCTTTTATGGTACCCCATTGTCCCGCACCGTAGCAGCGCAGTCTGAGGCATCATGCTTCGGACCGGCGCTCTGGTTCGAGTCTCGGGGGAGAAGAAATTTTCTCATGAGCTTTCGACCAGTGTATGGGACCGGTGCCAACCCAGCATCGTAAGGAAACTGGGGAGCTACGATATGTAGCGTAATCCGGTCAGGAAAGCTAGCAGTGGCTGGGGGTTCTTCGTGCAGACCACACGTCACCCTATATCTGGTTGGATGATCGTTCACCTCTGCTTAGGCATATGAACGTGAGGCCAGCAGTCAAGTTAGTCGGCTTTGGCTCTCTGGAGCTGTTACGCCATGGATTTAATTTTAATTTTTAATGATATCCCATTAATTACCATGTCCACAGATGCTAGCCATTTTAATCTATCCTATGCAACGATATTTTCTGAGATTAATCTCAAATAATTGTGTTATATATTTGTTGTTCTTCCCATTATTATTATTATTATTATTAAGTGTTCTGTCTTACGACAGGTCCATTGCTCTGCCCAAAAAGAGCTCTCCAGTTGTCCCTATTCTCGGCTTCTCGCTTTAATTCCTGGAACGTCATCTTCTTTCCTTGTTTAAGGTCGTCGGTTAGCTGTATCAATCTTCTTCCTAGTCCTCTCTTTCCTTCAACCTGGCCTTCGGTGATATCACTTCTGTGCTATATATTCCAGTGGCTCATCCATCCTTCTTTATTTGATCACCTTAACATATTAAATGTAATTTTCATCATCCTGTTACTTAGACTAATTTTGTTTAAAAAAATTCTCCTCACCACGTTGTTCTGAAACACCTCGTGACACGAGGCTTAATGTTAGCCTAATTTTAAACAAATGAAATTGACTTT